GAGAGGTAAGGAAGAAATCAAAAGAAGCGGAAAAAAGCAACACCAGCAGCCATCAAATGGCACTGAGATAGCTGGCCGTAGCAGGCAGGTGGAATCCAAGCAGCTTGTGCTTCCCGGACAAGAGACTCTGGCTGTGGGAAGCAGATGAGGTCGAGTCGGGGTGAAGAAGGGTGTGCGGTGGGAAAGCGTTTATCGCAAATTACCGGTTGTTTTGTCTCCTGCTGGAAGCTCCGTGAAGCTGCTTTTTTGTACCCCCTATTTCCTGGTCTCTGATAGGAGTCCAAGATGGTGGATCTGTGCTGCATTAGCTGATAGGGGACCTCTGCATGAATCTCTTCTTGCTCTCCCTTCTCTGTCAGTTTTCTCACTCCATTTGGTGATTGGCTGACTTCTTTATCTCTTCATTTGATGTTTTAGGGTTTCAGTATTGCTGTTTTTTCTGTTTGGCTTAGTTTTTCGGATCTTTGCTGTGGAAGGATGGTGTGGTGCTTCTGCCTAGGGTGTGATTTTGCCGGAAGTCCCCTGAAGGAACGGTTTAAACATAGAAGAAAACATTCTTTAATGGTTATGAGGGTGGGGAGGGAGGGTGAGGGTTATTTACTAACTAGATAACAGATATGAATTACCTTAGGTGAACAAAAGAATAGCACACACTACAGGGGACGTCAGCACAACTGGACTACACCAAAGCTAAGAACTTTCCTGAATACAGTCAAACACTTTGAGGGACAGATGAGCAGAGGTAGGGGTCTGGGGACCATGCTTTCAGGGGACATCTACATCAACTGGCATAACAAAGCTTTTAAGAAAATGTTCTGCATCCGACTTTGGTGAGTGGCGTCTGGGGTCTTAAAAGTTTGCAAGCGGCCATCTAAGATGCATCAGTTGGTCCCAACCACCTGAAGTAAAGGCGATTGAAGAACACCAAAGACACAGTTTATTAGCCCAAGAGACAGAAGGGGCCACATAAACCAGAGACTTCATCCATCTGAGACCAGAAGAACTAGATGGTGCCCGGCTACCACCAGTGACCGCCCTGATGGGGAACACAACAGAGAGTCCCGGATGGAGCAGGAGAAAGGTGGGGTGCAGAACTGAAATTCTAGTAAAAAGACCAGACTTAATGGTCTGACTGAGACCAGAGGAACCCTGGAAAGCATGGCCCCTGGATTCTCTATCAGCTGAGAACTAAAACAATTTCTGAGGCCCAACTCTTCAGACAGGGTTGGACTGGACTGTGGGACATAAAGTGATACTCATGAGGACTGTGCCTCTTAGCTGAAGTAGATACAAGAAACTAAATGGGCGTCTTCTGTCTGGAGGTGAGATGAGAAGGCAGAGAGGGTTAGGAGCTGGTTGAATGGACATAGGGAATCGTGTGGAAAGGAGAAATGTGGTGTCACAGTATGGGGAGAGCAATTGGAGTCACATAACAATGTATGTATAAATTTTTGTAGGGAAAAAAATAAAAAAGAATTAAAAAATATGTAGATTTATGAACATTTGCTGATTTCAGTATTACAGTCTCATGAGTTGGAAACCAAGACAGAATAAACTTTTTGCAAATTAAAAAAAAAATTACATAGTTGGTTTTATATATATGGTGTTTATAAACAAAGTATTCATCCTATGACAAAATTACTTGTGTCTCCAATGTGGAACCTGTTTTTGTTATTGGTACAAATAATAATGATGTAGAAATCTCCTGACATTTTTACTTGAAGATTAATAGGGGTAGTTCAGTTTTTTCACATTTACTTAATGCTCATCATGAAACGGTTTACGTGATTAAAAAGCTATATACGACACAATCTGTGGAACTGCATTTATTTTTCCGAATCAGTTGTGTATAGACTGTTAAGAACTCAGAATTTATTTTTCTTGGTTAAAATCTAAGCATCTGACATCATTAACGTTGTTCTTAAGCTGCCTCTTTCCTCATAGTGCCCCTCTTGTTTACCGATTAATCATTCTAGAGGATCCAGGTTGTGTTATGTTAATATGTTAATTTTGTAGATGTTATAAATAAATTACTGTGGAAATAAGAAAATACAAAAATAAATTATTAGAACTGCTGGTTTCCGGAGAATGTCTGTGAACTTCAGTTTGGGAAATGGTGATCTGGCATCACTCTTACAATCAGTAAAAAACCAGTTGCTGTCAAGTTGATTCTGACTTATGGAGACCCCATTTGTATCAGAGGTAGATTGCCAGGCTTTTCTTCCGAGGTGCCTCTGGGGACTAGAACTTTCAACCTTTTGCTTAGCAGCCAAGCATGTTAGCCATTTGCACCATGCAGGAACTTCCACAGTCTTACAGTTATCCTTAAATAGTTGCAACTTGATACATTTAAAATTCTAAAATTCATGGCTTTTGTTGGAATTATCTACTTAGGCTGTCTTAATGTGAAACATTTTGGCAAATTTTAGAATAGAAGAATTTAGATTTTGTTACGTTTAGGTATAACATCAAACCAAAACACCAAACCCATTGCCGTTGAATCAGTTCCGACTCATAGCAACCCTATAGGACAGAGTAGGGCTGCCCTGTAGGGTTTCCAGGGAGCAGCTGGAGTATTCAAACTGCCGAGCTCTTAACCACTGTGTACCAGGGTATGCTAATTTTTTAAAAATAATGTTAATTTTATAGGTATAATTTATAAGTATGATTCTGATTTTATTTGAGTAATAATTTTAATGGCAATATAACTTTTAACATCTTTTGTTTACGCCAACAGTTACAAAATTTAAAACAGATATGCTGTCTTAATTTGCTGTTATGGAATCATAGAATGTGTTTTTTTTTTAAAGTATCTATTTTTAGTCAAATTTCATTTTATCTCTGCTGTTAATTCAAGCTTTGATAAGATTGAAGTTAAGGATTAGAATTGAAAAGCAAAAAAAAGCTAAGAGACTGATTCTTAGCTCTTTTCAAGTTAAAGTAGTATTATTTGATTATTTTCTTAACTGCTTCTTCCTCAGAAGAACTTTACTCCCCCTCCCCCTACCTGGGGAAAATTTAGGCTGTTGATTCTGACTCCTATAGTATGTGCAAGAGCCAGGATTGGGACACAATGGACTTGGAATAGTAAAATAACCGCTTAAATATATAAGTTGTTGTTGTTAGGTGCCAGTGAGTTAATTCTGACTCATAGCGACCCTATGTATAACAGAACAAAACTGCCCAGTCCTGCACCATCCTCACAGTCATTGCTATGTTTGAGCCCATTTTTGCAGTCACTGTGTCAATCTGTCTTGTCGAGGGTCTTCCTCTTTTTCACTGACCCTCTACTTGACCAAGCATGATGTCCTTCTCCAGGGACTGGTTCCTCCTGATAACATGTCTAAAATATGTGAGACGAAGTCTTGAAGTCTCACCATCTTTGCTTCTAATGAGCGTTCTGAGGGTACTTCTTCCAAGGCAGATTTGTTTGTTCTTTTGGCAGCCCATGGTATATTCAAAATTCTTGGCCAACACCAGAATCAAAGTCCTCAATTCTTTTTCTTGGATCTTCCTTATTCATTGTCCAGCTTTCGCATGCATATGAGGCAATTGGAAACACTATGGCTTGGGTCAGGTGCTCGTTAGTCTTCATTGAGGTGTAATCCATACTGAAGGCTGTGATCTTTAATCTTCATCACTAAGTGCTTCAAGTCCTCTTAGATTGTGTCATCTGCATAACGCAGGTTGTTAATGAGTCTTGCTCTAATCCTGATGCCCTGTTCTTCTTCATATAGCCCAGTTGTAATTTTAGAAATTGCTTTTAAAGTCATTATCTTACCTGATGTTCCCCACAACCCAGAATACTTGATACAGAGGTTTAACTCCTCTGCTTTGTATTGAGGAAACTGAGAAACTCTTAACTCTTGTCCAAGTTGACATGTGTAGTAAATGGTAGAAATGACATTAAGATAAAAGGTTTTTGGTTCAGAGGCTTTGTGTACTTTCTACTGAACCACAGTCTTTCTACAGATCTAGGGCAGAAAGATGGTACTTGGCAGTTAGCAGCATAGAATATGTTATTTTACCGTTGCTTTGTTTTGTGACATTGGAAATATCACTTAACCTCTTTTTTGCTTTGTAGTCTCTGTTTTATATTAGTATATTCCATAGGGTTATAACATTTAAAATGGCCTGGAAGAAAGGACTTTTCCCTTGTTTATCATTATTTTACTTTATTCAGACATTACTTTATAACCACATTTCACATGTAAGTGTGAAAGGAAAGGGGAATTCAGGAAGGTAGAAAAAGCATGCCAAAATTTATACATTCATAAAGACTGTTAACCTTTCTAAATAGTGACCTTGAGAAGCTGTTCACTTGCTGGCATTGCTCAAATTTTCCATTGGATTTCAGTTTTAAAATAATGGCTTTAGGGTTTTATTTGGATTTGTATAAAGATGTTATCTATTCAGCATGAACATATGTGTGAACTCAATACATAGTTTAGTTGTTGAGTCTACATGATACCGATAATTTGTTTTCAGAACATTTTGGACTGTGTATGTAGATTCAGGGAGAGAATAGTTTAATGAATATTTTTGTCAGTTAGATTGCTAGAAATGGATTACCTTTGAATTAGTAATGCATTGTGGTTTTTTCTTTCCCTAGTCAGCAGATAAGCAACGAGCCCTAGAAGAAACCAAAGCCTACACCACCCAGTCCTTAGCAAGTGTTGCCTATCTGATAAACACCTTGGCCAACAATGTTCTGCAGATGCTGGATATCCAGGCATCCCAGCTACGAAGAATGGAATCTTCAATCAATCATATTTCACAAGTGAGTCCACACTATTTTCCTATTTGTCTGTGAAAACACTGGCAGTCTATAGTCTAGCAGCCTTCATTATGTGAGTTAACTCACATGTGTAATTTGCAACATACAGACTCAATATTAAGCTGTTTTCTGATTATTTTTGTGGGGTAGTTATCTTCTTTGTGATTTTGATAGGGAAGTAAATGTTTATGAGTTCTACTAAAACTCACATGTCATTAAAATAATCAGCCCTGAGGTAAAATTTTCTGATTTCTTCCACCTTCCACCAAATTTCACACTTTTTAATATTTTTTAAAATGTAAATGATGGCTTGGTGGCTTGACTAGTTTAATTTCTTTTTTTCCTGTTGGTAGGCTTTATGTTTACTAGGATGCTGCCATACCTCAACAACGGACAGAGTATAAGTGACTAGGAAACCTTATAAAATTATCTTTACATAGAACTTTAAAAAATAAATGTTATAGTTTTTTTATTGTAACAGTCATGCTCATGAAATACAGAAAAAGAGTGATAAAATGGAAAAACAGACTCTTTCCCTACTATCTAGGATTTTCACTGTTAATATTTTGATGTATTTTGTTCCACTGCTTTTTTTTCTGTAAATGGTTTTTAAAATGTAGTTGTGATTATATTATGTGTAGAATTTTGGGTTGGGCTTTTTTAACTTACCAACAAAACAAGCATTCACATTATGTTGTAAGCTTCTGATAAACATTCTGAATGGCTCCATAATGTTGCATGTATGTGCCATATAACTTTCATAACCATTCCTATATTTTGGAACCATTTTAAATAGCACTGCAATAAAAAACTAATTTACTTGCAAAATGGATTTTAAAAATTAAAATGACAGTGGTTTTGATCTGCCTGACTCTTTTTAAAGAGATTTTTGGAGCTTGTCTGTTTTAGTACTCTTGTCATTAGAGTAATTTGGTAGTATTCAACACCCTTATTAGACCTAAGTGATTAGAACTCTTATGGAATAAAAAGAATTTTAATAATGTGCATATTATTGTTTTTTAGTACATTTTGAGAGTTTAGGACTCCTCTGAAATAGAGTAATCCAACCATTTTTGAGCATCTGAAGTTTAGAAAATTCAGATAATTAAATCAAATATAGTCCAGATAATTAAATGAAATATAGGTGGTCTACCTTAAATTTTTGTTGTTTGAAAGTTCATTAAATGATTCAGAGGGATTTCTTGTTCCTTAATCTTATTTGATCTTAAATCTGAATTTGTCGCTTTAAGGATTTCTTCACATCCCATCTAAACTTCTCTAGATATTGTATAATTTATTGCTTCTTGTATTGCTGTGTCTCATAAATTAAAAAAAAAAGAACTGCTGAGTTTTAATGAAATTGGTAGATAAATATTAATCAGCTAAGGCCTTGTAAAGAAATAATCACTGACATTTTAAATGAGATAGATGAACTTAATTTTCTGTAATGGGAGGGAAGTTGACAAGTTGCTAGTCTGATATAGAAGTTCAAAGTCAATTCTTTAGGATTTTCAAATGTCTGCATGTTTGAAGTCCAAAAAAAAAAGAAAGTGAGGAGAAAAGAGTAAGGCAAAAGAGTAGTAAATATAGTAGAGTTTCACAAAAGACAGGACAACTTTTTGTTAGTTTGTAGGGGGAAGTCAGAGAGATTATGTGGGTAGAGAATGACAACAAGCAAATAGGAATGAAGAGTATTTATCATATATATTTTCTTATTGGAGTTCTGTAGGTCTTTGGTAGAAAAGGGTAGCAACCTCAAGGAGGAAGGTAAATACTGTAAGTCTACCCTAAATTGAGGTCCTTGGGAAAGTGCAAAATCTTTGCTCTTGGCTACTAACTGAAAGGTTGGTGGTTCAAATCCACCCAGTGTCACTGTGAAAGAAAAGTCTGGTGATCTGTTTCCATAAAGATTATAGCTAAGAAAACCTTATGGAGCTCAGTTCTTTGTAACCCATGAATTTGCCACAAGTCGGGATAGACACAACTACAAACGATTTTACCCTAGGTTGTAGGTAATTCAGTTAATGAGAACATTTTGTTTTAGAATATCACACTAATTGATATCCAGTTAGTGTGGTCTAATTAATTCTGTCTTTTTTTAAAGCTATTCCAGTGGAATAAGTAGAAAATGGGAAAAGTGAATGGCTATAGATTAGCAGGTTAGAAATAACAGGACTGAGTCAGAGCTGTCAATATGTTGAGGATCACTCATGAGTTAGGATCAACTCTACTGCAACTGGTATTACTGGTTTCCCTTGGGCAATAGGAATGTCAGATTTGGTGGACATTAATAATTCCCCTTGCATATTTTCATTTATTTTATATCCATCAACCCTTAAATAAAGTTGTCCACATGTTCCACATTTGGGAGAATGTAGTGTTTTGAAGAATGGACAGCTAACTCCGTAAGATAGCAAGAAATCTCAGGAGAGAAACCACTAGATGAAAGCTATACCCCATCATCCCCAGGGAAATTGGGAGGGAGGCAGATGTTGCCCAATCAATTGTATTTGAAGGACCAGGTATCTCAGCTGACAGCTAAGCTGCATTTCTTTTTTCTTCAGGTGTTAGTAGAGTAACTGATTGACTGTATTTTTGAAAATATATTATGGAATGCTCTACAAGTAGTGTTTTAGAACCTGAAGGAAACTCTGCCAAATGCCATAGATATGGTCCTGAAATATTTTACGTAAATAAACTTTTTTGTAAATAAAACAAAAGAAAAAAAGAATATGTTGAGCCTTCTTTATTTGAAGTTGAGTGCCTGGAGGGCAGTACTGGGAGGTGAGGGATCTGGGATTCTAAAGCAAGTATTAAGTTTGTACAAAATATATCTTAGAATGTTTGGATGAGGGGTTTCATTATAGAAATGGGCTGATGGAGAATGTAATGTAAGAAGTAAGAGTAGCAATTTTTTGTTTTTTAGTGTTCGCCTCAATGATTGAAATTTTTTTCAGTTATATTTAATATATGGGTAGAATCCTTTCTTTAAAAGCACAATTGAATATCAAAGTTATTTGATGCCTCTTAGATGGATTATTGTTCTATATATAGTGTAAGAGAAAATATTTTCTGTTTATAGTAATCTTTATTTACTTAGATAATACTCTAAATTTTAGAGTATTTAATAAATACTATAAAATAGGGGTTGACAGATTTTTTCTGTAAAGGACCAGATAGTAAATATTTTAGGTTTTGTGGGCTACAGATGGTGTCTGTCACTTATTCTTTCGTTTGTGTGTTTTAACAATTCTTTAAAAATGTAAAAACTATTCTTATCTTGTGGGCTGTATAGAAACAGGCTGTGGGCCAGATTTAGCCTGTGGGCCGTAGTTTTTGCTAACCACTGCTCTTAAATATTGTGTTTTATAATGTTTGGTTCTTAAAATTTATTATTATTATTAAAAGTATTGTTTTATTTTTAGATAGAGCCAAAGAGCTCTTACCTGGAGACCAGATTTTTGTGCAACTTGATCAGAAATACTAGATTCTGAGAATTTGTGGAGAAGATTGGGTTGCAGAGGCCAAAAAATGAAGGTTCAGTCAGATCAAAGAAAAGGTCACATGTTTATTAGAATGGTAGTAGATGTCAAGAGTTGTCAGAATTGTGTGGTAAAGTTGTTCAAGACCAGTAGATATTAAATATCGGAGGTATTTGGCTACTTTTCCCATCAGTATCTTTTTCCTGCCTCCTGGGTAAGAAAGAACCTCACACTTTTCAGTCTCCTACTGTTAGTCCTTTTCTCCACTTTAGTGGGAATGAGCACTGGGTAGGATTGGAGAGGGAGGGACAGGGAATTTAGGTTTTGCTGTAACTCTTCTGCTATAACTTGAGTGACATTTGACTTCTTTGAACTTCAGTTTTCTCATATGTAAAATAAATAATAAGGCAGATTAGATGATTTCTAAATTGTTTTCCATACCGAATTCTTTATTCTTCTGAGATCCTCACAAATGAGCTTGATTTGTATTTGCTTCTTTCTCTTTCTACTCTATTGCTCCCCACCTCAATCTGTGCCCACGGACCTCAGCTCTATCACTCTGATATAGCTGAACTGTGTTCTGAATTACTCTGAATTTGAATCTAAGGATGGGAGTTCCTTTAACTCTACCAACTATTTATCAGGAAGAAATACTCCGTCGAAACCAAATATAAACCCATTCTACTCTAAATCAAGCATTTTGAAAAACTAGGTAGAATTGACTAGGAATATTAAGTATCAGATACCCTTTTGTATTAAAAGGACAATATAGTATTAAGTAGTGTGTGTACTAACTTGTCCCACTCACCACGTCAATAATGCAGTATTAGGATGAATTCTTGTCATGGATTACTTTAGATATTGTATGGATGGTAAATTTTAGAGAAATTCCATCTCTAGCTTTGTTGCAATTACCCAGTCAATTCTGTGGAAACATAATCATTTAAAAATGAATTGAAATTTAAAATCTTCAAACTGATAGTAAGAGTTAAAGTAATATCAAATATTTTTCAAGAATATGTAGTTATCAGAGCAAACATTTAGTTTTACTGAATACTTGTATGTGCATACATAGCTTCCTTTAAATCAGTATAGAATTATGTATAAGAGTGAATATTATTTACTGTGTCTGTGATTTTGTGTTCATTTCCAGTAAGTTAAAAAAAGGGGGGGGGGAGTTTAAAGAATATTATTGAAACTAAAATTCTTGTAAAATCAAAATACATTTTTGATCAGTAATTATCAATTCAAGAAAAGGCAAACAGTCTGAACTTTTTGCTTCTAAGCCAGGCCAGTCTCTTCTCTCAGCTAGTAAAAAGTCACTACTGTCTATATTCAGTTCATCATGGCTTAGAAATAAGTAGATCAAGACAGGTCAAAAGGCAACATAAAGAACTTAAAAAGTAGTACCCCTCCGGTCCTCACAAGAGCTGGTTAGAACTTACTGGGCAAAATGTTAAAAGTAGTTAGCAGGTAGCAAGTAAAAGAGATACAAAGGAATAATTGTAAAATAACACAAGA